GCCTTATCTTCTCGCTTTGAACCCAAAATTTTGTTTGCAAAAAATTTACACTACTATATGCTTAGATGTTTTTCAGACAAATATTCTGAAGCATGAGAAATAGCAAGTGTGAAACGTGTGTTTATTTGGTAAAAAAAAACCCAGCAATTTTGAAACGTGGGATTATTTAAAAAAATATGTTATTTAATTTTTGTAGTTGAAAAATTAAGAACCTGACTATTTCTTAATTTAATTCAAAATGTTATGAAAGGAGGGAAAGTTTCCACGGATTATTCTACTGCGTCTGTATGTCTGTTATGTGGAGAATCGTCAAATGTCTCTAGGAAATTTGATCTCATAAGAATGGGAAGACGATTGAATCATGAAGCTCAAAACGAAAGCAGTTGCACAAAATAAATGTAGAGGTATTTCATATTTGTAGAACTTAAGAATGTTACATTTAGTATAAAAAATAAAATATTTGTCTACAATACAACTGCGGTTTCATGCCGCTATTGTACCGTACATGCTTCAAGTTTTCAGAGTTCCTAACTAAGATTTATTATTCTTTCAGTTCCTGTTCCTGGGTATGTCAGACACAACACTCACTACTACAAAATCTCCAAAGAAATGTTAAACTCTAAAGCTGCTGAAGTCCACTGCCGAAACCACGAGAGTACCCTGGCCAAGGTGGAAAATAGAGAGGTCTACGAGTTTCTGTTCAATTTGTTGGTCCAACATAACGTTTCATCGGCCTGGGTAGACATCACAGCCGAAGTGAAAGCAAACAAAGTGAAGATATTAGGAAACAGCATCCCTAACATTGCAATTTCACGCCATTGTACCGAGCTGAAAACGAGTCTAAAGGATGAGAAGTTTGGAGATGGAAAATGTGGCATGGAAAACACATTCATATGCCAGTTTAAAGGAAAAAACTGAAAACTTCTGTTGTAGCAGTAACTCGGAATAGGTTCTAAAAACAATAAATCAAAATTAGAATTTTAATCTATAAGTAGTTAACACAAGCACGATATTAAACGAATACTTTCAGTGCAATGTATCTAATTTTTCGTCACATTCTAACTCGATCCTATTTATATATTTACTATTCCTTAAAAGTTGCACTCGAGAATCTTTCTTTATCCATTATTATCATATTAGTTTAGCCATTTAATTGGTTATCAAAACCAGTATTATAAATATCTTTATTTTTAATGGCGGATCCAGAAATTTTATCAAGAGGATACTGATTATACGGGTATTAAGATCAAATTAATTTAAATACCGAAATTTAGTTTTTGCATATATTTTGAGGGTATTAAAATGTATATTAATTATGCAACGGACAAACTTTTATCAGTTTAAATACAAATTCCTACTTTAATGCTTTAAAAGAAGTGTGAAAAAACCTTCATTTTGAAGGAAGAGTGATGACGTAGAGAAAATTTTCTGCCACGTCATATCACCTAGGTGACGAAATATATTACTCTCGCTAATGGTGTACAAAGTTAGTGAATAACAATTGTAAACAATTCTGGAATATCTGAAAGCCTTGATAAATATTCAATTGATTTAGCAGTGAAAAACTAGAGTGAAGGCAGCTAGTCAACAACATTCACCGCCAATTTTTGGGCTACTCTTTTATCAACAAATAGTGGGATTGACCGTAACTTTATAACGCTTCCACAGCTGAAAGGACGAGCATGTTCGGTGAAGGGGATTCGAACCCACGACCCGTAGATTGTGAGTCGAGTGCCCTAACTATCAGGTCACGCTAGGCCTAAGACAGAAACGAGACATGCGGTACAGTTTGTTTGTTTGTAATTAAGCACAAAGCTACACAAAGGGCTATCTGTGCTCTGCCCACCACGGGTATCGAAACCCGGATTCTAGAGTTGTAAGTCCGCAAACATACTGCTGTGCCACTGGGGGGGCCATGGTACAGACACAAAAAGTTCAATTAAAGTTAGACATATGTCAAAGAGACCAAGAAAGTTCAACAAAAATTAAAAGTGCATCACAGGGGCAGTTAAGTCCAACAGAAATTAACTGTGCCCGTTCAACGCATGTGGTAGGCATGGAGACGCAGGGACTGATATGTGGGAAAGGGGGAAGGTTTAAATCCGAACGCCGATCCCCTTTGTCACTCCTAGCGGGTATATTCTAGCTTTGGTTACAAATCGGTCTAACAGCTTGCCAGTTATAATCGGACACACGCACAAACTTTTGTTAAATAACGGTTAATATGACGGCTGAGTTTATCATGAACTGCAAGGGGATCGACGTGTTAACAAAGGTCAGAGGAATCTGTAACCACTCCTTTGAAAGAGATGTGTTCAGAGCATCTTTAAATCATATGCCAAGAGCATCCCTTACGTATTGATTGAGACTGAAGTCCATTAGGCATGCAAGCTGCTCCATCAGTCAATCTCGCTTTTCTTCAAAGAATGTATTGACCGGTTTAGCAAAGTGGGAATGTATCTTACCATCTTGTAGGTTGAGGTCATAACAGCATATGGTAGCATTGCCATCTTGTAGGTTGAGGTCATAACAGCATATGGTAGCATTACCATCTTGTAGGTTGAGTTCATAACAGCATATGGTAGCATTACCATATTGTAGGTTGAGGTCATAACAGCATATGGTAGCATTACCATCTTGTAGGTTGAGGTCATAACAGCATATGGTAGCATTACCATCTTGTAGGTTGAGGTCATAACAGCATATGGTAGCAGAAGAGATCAGAGGATATGACCCTAACTATTAATCGTATCATTCCACGGAATGTTTTCAATAATGCACAACATATGATAGTAAAAGAGGTCAAAGGATGTGATCCCAATAATTAATGGTACCTGGCCACTGGATGCAAAGTTCGGTACTTTCACTACTGCTACATGTGTCACGTTCCCACATGGCGTTGTTTTTGTTTCAGGTCTTCTACAAATAAGTATACACCGGTTATTTAGTTGCAAAACTCATTTGTACAAAGATTATTGTTAGCAAGTTGTCTAGTCGCGGCTGTGACCATCTGATTCAGTCTCAGAGAGGGTGCCTTATCATGGTACAGGGCTTAGTTCGACAGATAACCATCGTTTACTTTTACTCTGGCTAATAATGTCTTATGTTGCACGTGTCCGAGCGACTGTATCATTCGTTTGGAAGCGGTTCTATGTTCTGCTAATGACACTTTAATCAGCTCGAAAGAGTTTGCTGTAATTGGTCCGATAACTCTCTACACTAGCGACACATTTAAATATCTCCTTTCAGGTCTGGCTGTAGTTCATGAAAAACTTAGAACCCTATATAACTAACTTCAGTGTGACAACTGAAACTGTTTAGTCATCTACTTAATAATATTGAAGGGATGGACTCAAATTTTACAGGTGTTGTTTTTATAAAACATAGACTTTTATCGTAAACCCCCAAAATGTTACTGAAAAATGCATTGTATCCTGTTTGTCAGCTAGGACTTTAGGTCACAGAAATATACATGTATATACATATATAGTACCTTATGTGTGGAACATTGGAGGGTTTTGCATGTTACAGCAGGCCAAATTAAGTAATATATATATAAAGGTTTCCGAAATATTAATCGTCTTTAAACATACTGTAGCCTGTACTTATCGCTTGAAGGTCAAAATGTTCTACGAATTCAATGTTTTAGGAAAGTAATTACTGTTAGAGTGATTTAGAATGTAGCTGATATCCAGTCTTCCCACTATGATTATATAATGTAGGATAAAAATAGGCTTAGAAGTTAATACACTGGCAATCAGATTATGGTTTAGATGTTACAGGGTTGGACAATTTTATTTTCATTATCTTGAAACAGGTGGATATGCCCACAGAATACAGATTTCGGAAGAGCACCAAGATTACGCCTCAAATATTGGGGGAGGGGGAGAATTAATGGATAAAGCTTTTAGAACGATAAGAAAGATAATCTCTAATTCACTTCCATGTCTGGCTAATATTCAGATAATGAAATGAAATGTATTGTTAATCTTTATCTAGAGAACAGTTAATTGAGTATAAGTGAGTGAATGGTCATCCATTAAAACATGCTCTTGAAATATAAATAAGTATTAATATAAAACCTGCATACTCCGTATAACGTGACATTCCGAGGACTATAGTCATGAAACAAATCAGAATAGTGTTATAGCATGTGATCAACAATGTTATAGCGCATGATCAACAATGTTATAGTATGTGATCAACAATGTTAACGTGTGATAAACAATGTTATAGCATGTGATCAACAATGTTAGTGGAGATGATCAACAATGTTATAGTATGTGATCAACAATGTTATAGCGCATGATCAACAATGTTATAGCATGTGATCAACAATGTTAATGGAGATGATCAACAATGTTATAGCATGTGATCAACAATGTTATAACGCATGATCAACAATGTTATAGCATGTGATCAACAATGTTAACGTGTGATCAACAATGTTATAGCATATGATCAACAATGTTAACGTGTGATAAACAATGTTATAGCATGTGATCAACAATGTTAACGTGTGATAAACTGTTAATGTGTGATCAACAATGTTATAGCATATGATCAACAATGTTAACGTGTGATAAACAATGTTATAGCATGTGATCAACAATGTTAACGTGTGATAAACAATGTTATAGCATGTGATCAACAATGTTATAGCATGTGATCAACAATGTTAATGGAGATGATCAACAATGTTATAGTATGTGATCAACAATGTTAACGTGTGATCAACAATGTTAACGTGTGTTGTAGCGCATGACCAAGCTAATTATTTTTCCTGTACTGAAGATTACAATATAAAAATATGTCTGTATAAAATATTATAATAGTTGTTCCCTCATATAAAAAACAACATTAGTAAAATAGAAACGAGCGGGTTTCAACAAACTGGTTTCTGAATATTAATCATCAATTTGGACAGATTATCATACAGTCAACCCGAAAATACTGTAGGGCGCTCGACTCGCAGTCTGCGGGTCGCGGGTTCGAATCCCCGTCACACCAAACATGCTCGCCCTTTCAGCCGAGGGGACATTATAATGTCACGGTCAATCCCGTTATTCGTTGGTAAAATAGTAGTACAAGAGTCTGTGGTGGGTGGTGTTGACTACCTGTCCTCCCTCTAGTCTATCATTGGTAAATTAGGGACGGCTAGCGAGAAATTCAAATCAAACAAAGTAAGATTTTACATTCAAAGCCACATAAGAAGTATTTGGACATAGATGTCCCTAAGTTTGAGCTGAGAGAGGAACGACAACTAATTAGCAGCGCCCATTACCAACTCTTGGGCTATCTTGTCTAACAGAATAGTGGGATTTAACTGTCACCATTATAACGCACCAACAACCTCAAAGTGACGAGTGTAGTGGAATTTGACTGTCATCATTATAACGCACCAACAACCTCAAAGTACCGAGTGTAGTGTGATTTTGCGGTAACGGGTCGCGAACCACGAATTCTCTAATTCAGAGTTCGGATACCCTAAATACTCGATCATTGCATGGCTTGTATTTGAACAAGATTAGGCGCACAGCTGCTCATGTAGGTGATTTAGTTTTATAACATTATGTGACAGTAAGTCAAAAATGACTGATAATAGTCACTGACAAGAATTTAAAACACGTTTATAAGAAAACTTTTATTATGCTCCATTTTAACAAGAGTAATTTGTCTGAAACTTCAGTGGTTGTCCTTGACAGTCTAATAAACCATTTCTGTAAGTAATACGTAAACTGAATCATTCAAATTCTCTGCCATCAAGTGTTTTAAATAAAATTGTAATTTTCTACTATTCAAACTAAAAAAAAATTGTGTATCAAAAGTAAATTTTTAGAAGAATTAATTACTCCACGAAAATGGTAATTTAGAAATAGGAATTAAAACATAAGATCTTATGGTATTCAGGTCCACGAATAACCGACAGGTAAGTCCAAAAGCATCCACGTGGCTTAGATTCCGGAAATGCTACGCAGAGACTAAATTGAACAAGGACAG